ACTACTACTACTACTACTACTACTACTACTACTACTACTACGACCACTACTCTACTACTGACTACTACTGTTACCTACTTCTACTACTATCACTACTACTACTACTACTACTAATATTACTACTACTACGACTACTACTGCTACTACTACTACTACTACTACTACTACGACTACTACTACGGCTACTACTACTACTAGTACGACTACTACTACGACTACTACTACTACTACTACTACTACTACTACTACTACTACTACTACTACTACTACTACTACTACTACGACTACTACTATTACTACTGTTACTACTACTACTACTACTACTACTACTACTACTACTACTTTTACTACTACTACTATTACTACTACTACTACTACTACTACTACTACTACTACTACTATTACTACTATTACTACTACTACTACTACTACTACTACGACGACTACTACTACTACGTCGACGACGACTACTACTACAACTACAACTACAACTACAACTACTACTACTACTACTACTACTACTACTACTACTACGGCTACTATTATTCCAACTAATACGATTGAAAAATGAGTCTCCAGGGGATCTAACCAGGGACCTTAGAGCACTCCAACTCGTGCCTCGGACAAGGCCCGCGGGTTGGGCACGGAAGCTTCCGTGCTTCTGGCGCTCTGCAGGTTTCTGTCTCGATTAAGACAACGCACTTTACTAAAATGTGTGTCTCGCCAGAAAGCGAGTTCGTGTGGATCCTAAGTGGTACCATTTAAAATATTGCGTTTGATACCACTCTCGAGCGAGTCTCGAGCGAAGGTTCCCCAAGCAGCACTTTCGCCTAGCGGTTGTCACTTCTCTTCTGAAGTGACTGGCTCGGCGTGCCTGGGTTTCGTTGGGAACCTAGTTGGTGGCCGCCTCGTGGCCGCTCGTGACCGCCTCGTGGCCGCCCTGTGCGGTGGGCAGGTCTGCCAGGGCTTCGCCCGGTGCCTAGTCGGTGACTGCCCGTGGCAGTGTCCTGGCCACCCCGTGCATTGGGCGGGGATTTGCCAAGGTTTCGACTGGTTCCCGGTTGGGGGTTGCCTCGTGGCCACCCGTGAGTTGCGTGCACACCACAGCTTGCAACACACAGACTGCATCACATACATTGGCGTCACACAGTTTGCACGAAATAGCTTACACCACATATGTTGCACTGCATGGCTCGCACCACTTAGCTTGTACCGCACAGCTTGCACCACATGGCTTGCACCACATTGATAACACCGCATGGCTTGCACCACATAACCTGTACCACACAGCGTACAACTCATAGCTTGCACCACGCAGAATGCACCACCTGTCTTACATAATATAGATTGCACGACCTAGCTGGCATCAAATTGTTCGCCCCACGTAGTTTCCACCACGTAGCTTACACTGCATAGCTTGCACCACATAGCCTGCACCACACAGCTTGGACATCCAGTGTGCAACGAGTCACTGTTTGGGGTCCACGCTAGCAAACATCCAGTGACGAATTGGCTTCCTGGACTATTTCTTAGCGCTTCACCTATACCCACCAGCCCATCCAGGAACGATGCCTAAGGGAGCTGCACTTTATCGGAGGAGCGTAGCATCATTCTGATACCTCGGGGAGCCTCAGTGAATTAGAAGCCTCTTTGATGCCTCTCGGAGTCGCTTGGGATATCTCCTGGGTGGTTCTCGGTGGCATCTGAGAGCGTCTTGGAGGCCTCTGGGAGGTCATTGGACGCCCATTGGGGCTCTTTCGGGGAAAATTTGGGGAGCCTTGGGGGCCATCTTGGAGGACATCGATCAAGGAAGGAGGGCGGTCAATTACCGTCGCCCCTGGAGAGCGCCTGAAGTCGTTGCTTGGGGCCGTCTTGGAGTCCTCTTGGTCTCTCCTGGGTCCCTGGAGCCATCTTCAGGCCTCGGAAGGCCATTGGACGCAAACGGGCGAGAAGGGCAAATACAGTGATGTTCCCTTGGTTGTAGAGAGTTTACCCTCTTGGGGGCGTCCCGGGGAGCCCCCCAGGCCGCTTTGACCCGTCTTGGAGCGGTATTGGGACCCCTTGGAGTATGATTGAGGCCATTTTAAGCGACCTCGCGCTATCTTGGGCCATCTTGGAGGCCACCTTGCCCTCTCCGAGGCCCTCTTGGAGCCATCTTGGGTCATCTTGGACGCTCGAACTACCCGCGGGCGCCCCGTCCAGACCCAGGGGGGGGGAGGGTAAACCCCTCCCCGAAGGGAAAGAATGGGGTTGGAAAAGGAAGCGCTCTAAACCACCTACGCCACAAATTGCTGGTGGGATTTTGTGGGGCAGGCCCTGGGCTTCCAAAAGTTGGGGCAGCTCCCAAGACGTCCCCAGACCCTTCAAAAAGTGCTTCAAGAGGATCCCTTCACGGCGCAGGCGCGTCCGAGGGGCCAGCGAATCATGTAACGGCTTCCCGTTTAAGTAGCCGATGGCAGGCAGAGTGTCTTCATGCAGTGTGGCCATACCACCTCGTCGTAATGTTGATGGTGCTTTGACAGGGGTACCTCACCACGAACTGTCAACCGCAGTTCCACGAGTATGGCGAGAGCTCTTAGGTGATGTGCGAGATTAGAGCATGCACGTACTGCTGATGCGTGCCTTTTTTCAAGCAAGCCAGACTCAAGCATCGGACGCTCGATTCGAGCGTCCTGTCAAACTCGGCACAGCATCTGCTGAGCCGAGTACTGCTGCCACGCGGGCTACTAGGGGGCCGTCCGTGCCAGTCGAGCCCGCCCTCGCCCCAGGTGTCCACAATCCGATCCAGATGTCAAGGTGGCCAGTGTTCTGTCTGGTCCGGCTTCTCACAGGGATGGCACGGCTCCACCAGCTTATTCGGCGCCGCGACCAGCGCGCATGAGCCGATTTGCAGCCGATCGTCTTGCGTCGATCTTGCTGCCTGGGATGTGCAAATCGGGTCGATCGGGAGCACAGAAGGTTTTGTCTTGGAGCGTTTTGCTTGAGACATCGTCGCTACGCTAGGCTTGAAGATGCCGCCCGCGAGGTGATCCGGTCAGTTTGGCCTGTGACGATCCCACAATTCTTGGCAAAGAGATGCCGCGTGCGAGGGGGTCCAGCCAGTTTCGCATGAGACGTCCCCGCAATTCTGAGCAATCGCTTGGGAGTGCGAAGCGAAGAAGGACACTTCTCGTCGCCAGGGCTGGACGCGGCTCGATCGTGCCTGGTGATGCGGGCTGGTACTCTGTTGACGAAGGGTGTGTCACGGGCACGTTCGCGCCCAGATTGTGGGGATCTCTCGAACGGTCCATTTGTCTTACGGGGTGAAGGTGTGTTTCGGTCAAAAGAGGTGAGTGCGCCCCATGGCTCACAGAGAACCATCCTCGGAACCTTGGGCTCCGAGATGCCCTGACTTGATGTGTTCTGGCTCGTTTCGCTTGAGACGTCCTCACAAGTAAGGATTCCAAGATGTGGTTCGCGAGGTACTCAGGCACGTTTTGCGCCTGAGACATCCTCGGAACCCCAGGCTTCGAGATGCCCTGAATTGGGGTGCTCTGGCTCATTTCGCTTGATAAGTTCTCTCGACTCTGGGTTCCCAGATGTGGTTCGCGAGGTACTTTGGCATGTTTCTCCTGAGACATCCTCGGAATCCCTGGCTCTGACTGGTTTGGCCTGAGACGTCCTCGCAAATTTGGGTTGAAGATGCGGTTCACGAGGTGCTCAGGCCCGTTTCGCTTGCGACATCTTCGGACCCCTCGGCTCCGAAATGCCCTGACTTGAGATGCTCAGTTCCGTTTCACCTGAGACATCCTCACTCTTTGCTAGCCTGAGACACCCTCGGAACCCCGGGCTTCGAGATGCCCTCAACTGAGATGCTCTGGCCCATTTCGCTTGAGACGTTCTCACAACGCTGGGTTCCCAGATCTGGTTCGCGAGATACTTTGGCGCGTTTCGCCTGAGACATCCTCGGAATCCCTGGCTCTGACCGTTTGGCCTGGGACGTCCTCGCAAGTCTGGGTTGAAGATGCGGTTCGCGAGGTGCTCTGTCCCGTTTCGCTTGCGACATCCTCGGAACCCTGGGTTCCGAGATGCCCTGACTTGAGATGCTCAGTCCCGTTTCACTTGAGACATCCTCGTTACGTTGTTCACCTGAGACATCTTCGGAACTCGCACCTCCGGGTTCCATGATGCGGCTCGCGAGGTGCTCTGGCCCGTTTCGCCTGGGACGTACGTGGGTTCCAAGATGTGGTTCGCGAGGTAATCAGGCCCGTTTCGCCTGAGACACCCTCGGAACCCCAGGCTACTGCGAGATGCCCTGAATTGGGGCGCTCTGGGCCGTTTCGCTTGAGACGTTCTCACAACTCTGGGTTCCAAGACGTGGTCCGCGATGTGCTCAGGCACGCTTCGCCTGAGACTTCCTCGGAATCCCTGGCTCCGAGATGCACTGACTTGAGGTGCCCCCGGGTGTAAGAGCGCCAGGCTCAAGGCGACATAGGCGGAGTTGTTGCTGGGGTTGCCCTCGGTGCCGGAGGAAGTTGGGGAGCAATTGAAAGTGACAGAACAAACGAGAAGTCGCCAAATATTTGGTTCTTCGTGCGCGTGTTTGTCATGCTTTCGTGGGGTGAGATTCGTCGCCACGACCAGACGCGGTTCGGAACACTGGAGCAGCATACAGTCCAGGGGAGTTCGTCAATTGACATTGAGCGGATTATGGTTTGGAGGTAAATCCAATGTGTCTTCACCAGGCGTGCGCGAATTGTCGTATTCGCTCTCGGCCTTCTGGCGATGTTCAAGTGTAGTATTCGTTATTACCCATTTGTCCGCAACAGAGATCGCGATAGCGGAGGAGGAGGAGGAGGAGGAGGAAGAGGAGGAGGAGGAGGGGGAGGGGGAGGGGGAGGGGGAGGACGAGGAGAAGGAGGAGGTGGAGGACGAGGAGGAGTCCTGCAGGTGCAGAAGGCAACCAGGACGGCCAGAGGCGGGAAGAGTGACGGCGCACTCACCCAGCGGCTGCCGTTGAGGCCGGCGGATACCGCGGCGAAGAGCCAGTGGAGGTGGTCACGACGGTGGTCGGGGCTCAAGACACCAGGTCCGTGCAAAAGGGGGTCAGTCAGCGCGCCGGCTCTTCCAGGATCCTGCATGGCCAGGGTCGCATTGACCCGGGCTTGGGTGCAGGATCCTGCAGGATCTTGCAGGGTTTTGCAGGATCCTGCAAGGCCTGACTGACCCTGGTTTGGTTTGACCCGGGTCGGCAGATCCCCGACGTGGTCCGATTGTCGCGGTCGCAACGAGGCGGTCCGTCCTGAACTGGGACGGAGCTGCGCGAGTCGGCGCCAGAGTGTGGCGCGGGGCCGAGGGCGGTGCGCAGCCTGGGTCCACAGCAGCCTGGCCATCGTAGTGGCCGATGCGTGCATTGCGGCCGCGTCGGCGGCGTGAGCACCATGGCGTGCGCTGCGCTGCGGTGCGCGAAATGACGGGGCGCCCCCCGAACGATTCGGCGGGGCCGCCGGCTAAACCTTCCATCCCTCACGCAGCGATCACAGCTAGCCCTTCACCTCCCACATGTTTGTTTAGGCCTCGCGGCCGCGCGCGTGGCGGCGCGATGGAGTTGGGCAGTCGTGGCGAGAGCAGAGCACGCTGGGCCCTCGTGTGGCCACCAGGCGGGTGGCACAGGGTACACCCATCGGGAACAACACTGCGCATGAACTCACGGGGAGAAAGCCGTGAGAGGGGACGAGTGTGGATTTCACACACCTTTCACGTCGGCGGCTAGGATTTTCACACTTTTCACACACTTGTCACACTTTCCACGAGTGTGGATTTCACACACTTTTCATGGATTTCATACAAATATATAGATATATATATATATATACATACATACATACATACATACATACATACATACATACATACATACATACATACATACATACATACATACATATACACACACACACACACACACACACACACACACACACACACACACACACACGCACATTCACTTTTGGTGGTAGCGGCCCTGCGCGCGGCGATGAGGCGGAGTGATGCCAGCAGCGGGGGCAGACGCGCGCGGCCAAGCCCTCATGCGGGGTCACTTTGGACCGCCGCGGACTTGCCATCGCTGCTGCAGTACATGGGCTATCCCAGCGTGGATGGCGGGGAGGGATGGCGCTGCCCAGCGCGGGGCGTCCAGCGCTGGGCGATAGTGCGAGGGCGATGCGCAGCCAAGCGGCGTGGTAGGCGGGAAGGGAGGGATCTGGGATCCGCACGGGGGCGCGGCCCGCCAGGCAATGCAGTCGAGGGAGAGGACAGGAGGACAGTGAGACAAGGACGAGGCGAGGAACACAGCGAGGCAAAATGCCCAGTGTGTCAACGCTTGGTTATCTCCAAGTCAGCGAAGGGGATAGCGGGAAGCGCTGAAAAGTGACTACCACCGAACATGCGTCGATAGGAACGCAGCCGCCGAAACGCGGTTGCACGTGAAGACACGCCGCATGCAATTTAAAGCCGCGATGTACGAGTGAGGAGGAGGAGTCCTGGCGCGACAGGGGGAGAGGAAGCCAGGCTCACTCGGGCAAGTCGCCGGCTGCGGCAGGAGAAGCGCAGAGGGGGGGAACCAGCGTCGGCGCGGAGCTGCACTGAGCTGCACTGAGCTGAAGCTGGGGGGGGAGGCAGCCCAGCAGACTGGGCGGCCAGCGGGGGGGCACCACATGCGAATCAGAGACCCGCCCCAGCGAATCGGCAGGCGTGGCCGCAGGGGTGAGCCATAGCGCCGAGACCTGGGGGCCTACGAGGTGCGGCGGGAGGCGAGAGGCAGAAGCGGGCGGACACGAGAACGCCCAAACGGGCGCCACCATGGCCCAGCGAGCAACGGGGGATGACGACCCAGAATCGGAGCCACTCCGGGGGAGCGGCGCGGAGCTGAGGGCGCCAGTGGATGGCGGGCGAGCAGACCAAGGGGGGCGGGCGCAGGCGCTTAGACCAGGGCGCCTACGAGGCGCAGGGCGCGGAGGCGGAGCGGCGACGACTCAGCGATGCGCCAAGTGCAGCAAACGATAGCCAGCGGGCGGAAAGCAACAGGAGGAGCCACGCTAGAAGGGGGAGCGGCGGGCCCAGGGGGAGCAAAAGGGTGGGGCGAGCGCCGAGACCAGAGGGCCAGAGAGGTGCAGGCCAACGGGCGGGGCAAGGTGCCACGAGGAAGCGGCAGCGCCCAGAACACTGGCAGGGCAGCGAGCGTCGCCCGGCCGGCGCAGGGCACGGCAAGGACCCAGAGGGTGCCACAGGCAGCGCCTGTACAAGACCTGCGGAAGGCCGGCGAACCCCGGGCCAAAGCGGGGGGCTGCAGCGGCAGAGCAGGGCACCCCCCTGGCGGAGCGGGCGAGAGGCCCGAAGGCCACGCGCGAGCGGCAAGACCAGCCCACCGCGGCGCAGGGCGCACCTTGGCGCGGAGCGACCTGGGGCGGCAGCCGGGCAGCCAAGAGCCGCCCAGAGCGCCGGCGGGGGGCCCCCGCGGAGCGCGCGAAGGCACGCGGGGCGGCGCAGCGCGCAGTGTAGCACCACGGGGCAGGGAGCCGCTGGGCAGAAACGACGGCGGCGGCAGGAAGCAGGCCCCGAGCGAGAGCTGGAGGCTTGCGCGTGCCGCGAAGGCAGGGAGGGGAGAGGGCAGCGGCCGGGGCGGCCGCTGCCCGGAGCCTGGGGGCTCCAAGCTCAGCACAGGTCGAGGTGGCGAGGAGGTTGCGAGAGAGCTACCAGCAGTGACTGCTAGGAGCTGACCAGCGCTGACGAGTTGGGTCGCTGCTGGGCCAGGCGGGGTCGGCCGGCCGCTTGCCTTTTTTTCTTTCGGCGGGGTGCCCTGCCCTTTGCCCCTGGCAAGCTCGGCGCTTTGTCTCCTCCCGTCAAGTTCCCGATGCCACTCGGTGCCCCGATCGACTCGGCCGCCTTCGTGTCTGCACAGCCCACGGACATCGTAGTTGGCTTCGCTGAGCTCACCCACACAGCCCCGGCAGAAGTCCGCGCGGTGACGATCGGGGTCCGCGGCGGGGCGCGGCCCCCACTCTCGGGGGCGGAAAAGAGGGGGGTGATGACTAGGGGGGGGTGGATTTCATGGCGCGGGCCATGATTTTTCCTCAGATTTCATGGCGCCTCTTCTTACTTTATTACGTCCCAGGCCCCTTCGCTGGGCCGCGCACATGCCGCCGGTCATGATTTGCACCCCCCCTCTTGGACACCCCCCTCTTGGCCGCTCCCGACACTCGCGGTTGCAGATGGCGCCCCAGCCAATCGACAGCATGGGGCTACATTCGTTTTTGAGGCGGTCGACCACTTCATTCCAGCCCCCCCTCGCGCCAGCTCTATAGTTCCAGGCGGGATGCCACGTCACTTTGCGCCGCGGTTTGTTGCGAAGCTGATCCGCGGCATCAGACTGGGCAGGGGGCAACGAGACCAGGGCCGGTCGGCGCGGCGTCAGCTCCTTCCGCCAGGGCGGGACCCGCTCCGCAGCGCCCCATCCGCGTCACCTTCGGGAGGCGCCTGGGCTAGGCTGCACGTCAGTCCTGGAGGCCTTGCGCACCGGCTCTTCCGCCGCAGCGCGCCGGGCGCTGGCGTCGGACCGTTCCGCTGGCGGCGCCTGCGAGCGGTGAGGGCCGGAGGAAGGGGCCACGCGGGCAGTCGGCCGAGAGGAACTGCCGGGGCTGCGTCGCCCCTCGGAATGTCTGCTGGCCGGGGTGCCATGGGGAGCTCGCTCCTCACTCCAGTCGCAGGCCGATGCGTTGGAGCGCCCGCGAGAGGCGGGGGGGGGGCTGGGGGGGCTGCGTTCCTGGCCCCGCGCAGCCTCAGGGGGTTCTTCCCGCGGCTCGGTCGGACGCAAGCCGAGCAGGAACTGACCGCGGTGGTGCTGGGGGGGGCGGCAGCCCGAGCTGCTCGGCGCGCAGGGCGCTGCCGTTGGGTCGTCGAGCCCCGGGCTCTTCCTTGGAGCCCGATCCAAGGGAGCAGCCGGCTGCCGCCTGCAGGGGGGCATCGAGGGTGGCATCCGCGAGGGTCAGCCTTCCGCGCGGCGGTCGCCCAGCACCCCCGCGCCAGCGGATGCTGGAGCGACGTAATCCCCCTCGAGCCCAGGTAGCCGAGCAGGATGTTCTGGCGCCAAGCAGGGTTTCGTCCCTTCACTGACGCTCGGGGGTATTACTTGCTGCGGTAAGCATTCCATTCGTCAGGCCCCTTGCGCGAGCTAGAAGGGGCTCGGGGGCCCCAGCGATGCAGGCGGTTGACCAGCAGAGCCAAGGCGGCACGCCCCCCACCCCACCGGACGCCCGGGGGGAGCCCAGATTGGGATGGAATCGCCGTGGACGGAGGCCAGGAATTCCTGAGAGCACGCTTCAGGCCATGCCCTGGGGTCAGAGGGCGGTCCCATGCCTTTCCCGGGCTTGCGTAGCGAGGAGGAAATGTTCCCCGCCGCCTAAGTCCCCCAGCGCCCATCTACCTCGGGAGAGACTGATCGGGCAAACGCCGCCATGATGTGTACGATGGTATTGTCAGCACTTCCGCGCGTGGTGTCTGGGCGGATGCGCCGGGACGCCTGTGGAGCAGCGATGTCCCTCGCCCTCGGGCGGGGGCAGGTCGTCGGGTCGACGTTGGGGAGTCCATCCAGGAGGCTAGCGGGGGGCCGAGCAGGGTTCGTTGCATACACCTTAGTCTATGCTTAAGAAAACCTAAGTTTCCGTCCAGAGTCTCGATTATTCTTAATTTTTCAATATAAATCCCAAGATTTTGATAGAAGTTCTGGGCTTTATTCCATTTCTGAGACTATGAATTTCTTAACCCATGATTTCTTAAGCATTTCGCAGGGTGTATTTCACCTGTGCGCCGCCGTCTGCTCTTGGCGCTGAGGCCGAACGACTAAGCTGAGGTCACGTCCTGGCGCGGGGGCTGCGGGGGTCCGCGGGGCGGCGGCCTGGCGACGCCCTGCCCCGACGGATAGAGGACTGCCGCGAGGCGCCCGGGCCGCGGCCGGTCTGGCGCGCAGCGCGAGGCTGCCGTTGCCCGGCCCGTTGGTTTCCAGGCTGTGGGATCGCCGTCGGTCGGGGGCGGAAAAGAGGGGGGTGATGACTAGGGGGGGGTGGATATCATGGCGGGGGCCATGGTATTTCCTCAGATTTCATGGCGCCTCTTCTTATTTCTTTACGTCCCTGGCCCCCCCGCTGGGCCGCGCACATGCCGCCGGTCATGATCTGCACCCCCCCCTCTTGGACGCCCCCTTCTTTGCCGCTCCCGAGTCGGGTTGGCCGGGATTTGGGGCGCCGTCGATGCAAGGCAGGCGGGGCGGATCGCCCGCAGCCCTTGCTTCCTGCTGGGGAGTGCCCACCTCCAGCTTGGTGGCCCAGGCCCCTCAGCGGGTCTGAGAGCTGGTCGTCGTCGGGCGACGGGAACAGACCGCTGTGCCGGCGCAGTAGCTGCGAGCCCCTCGGCGCCGGGAG